TTTGATTAAATTTTCTAATAAGTAAAGGAACTAATAACCAAAGCGACTATAAAGTTTCACACGTACTTAATTTGTGACGTACTAGTTTGTCTATGAGCCGAAGATGGCACTTTTCCTATCTATGTATATGTAAAATTCGTGTAACATATTGGCCAATCAAATGGATCTTCAACCATGCTAGAAGAAATTCATGATGTTATCGCTTCCAGAAATATGCAAGTCTTATTAAAAGGCATCACATATAATATGCACGCATCTATAAAATCTAGGAATTGCTATATTAATGAATAATTAACACAAATTGGAGTGTATCAAGTAGTGTAGTTTTTATTTTGTTTTCCATGTAACGATAATTTTATCCGAAAAAAAGATATTAAACGTTAACATGTATTACCCTACAAGGCTTATCATTATGCATCATTTGTAAGACGGGGCACAAGTAGAAATTGCCATTTTTCATTTTTCTGGAATTAGTACCCTAACCAAAGTCAGTCAATTAACGTTAACACATACCACATTTTGTGGAGAATTCACTCCGGACCGAACCTTATCTGGCCTAAATGCGGTATTATAATATGTATTGAATTATACATAACCGTTCATAAATTTTTTACTAAACTAAATAAAGCATTTGTATTACTATATTAAGGTAAATATAGTATATACAAATGAAAAAGTCTGAATCGCTGAAAGGGGCCATTATAATACGTTTTGACAATTCATAAATTTTTTACTAAACCAAATAAAGCATTTGTATTACTATATTAAGGGTCGTCTAAAGCCGTGTGCGGTTATATGACATATAGCCAATAAAATTGTTTGTTTTGATCAACGCGAATCAGTCCGACGAAGTAAAAAAAGTGAAAAACGTCAAAAATACAAGAAACGAGTGTCTAAACCTACCTTGAGGTATTAATAAAAAATGTCTAAAAAGTCAAAAACATATGACCGCACACATACCCTATATTAAGGTAAATATAGTATATACAAATGAAAAGTTAAATAAGCTTACAAATAAGGATTTATTTTATAGATCACTTATTTGGAAACATGCATTTAGAGTTATACCCGGCTTTTTCCTAAGTATATATATAATTTAGTCGGCTGTAACATTAGCCCTTTTTATTTAAGCAATCGGTTTCTGATAAATTTAACGACGCAACTTTCGTACATTGAAGTTGTGCGTTTATCTTTGCAAATTAACTATGAAAACCCTTACATTAAAAATCTTTTTTTGTGGCCTTATATTATTTATTGTATCAGTTGCAAATAGAACTGATGCAAAAGTTATTAAGAAAAATTTTATGACTCGACAAGCAACTTATATTTGTGATTCATATTTTGATTATATTCACAAGTCCAGTACTTCTACAAAAACTATACCTGCGAATACCATTAATACTCACTTAACTATAGAATGCAATATTAAAGGTGTATTAGCCGAAGTTCTCGAATATCATTTGTGGAAAGATGTGAATGGTAAAAAATCTGTTGATATGAAGGGTGTTAAATTAGATTCACTGGCTAAAAATGTAGCACCAAAAAATGGTGGATGGTTTATTATAAAAAGATACGCGCTTCATGCGGATCCTTCCGAATGTTTGAATGCACCTAAAGGATTAGTTGTTAGTGCGATAGCAAAAATTAAGCTTACCTATCCTGATGGAAATATAGATGAAGGTTACCCAATTGTGCAAAATGTATTAAAAGGCTGTCCTCCCTCATCGACCAAACCAAAGCCGTCCAAACCAACCAAACCACAGCCGTCCAAATCGACCAAACCACAGCCGTCCAAATCGACCAAGCCATAGCCGTCCAAATCTTCTGGAGGTAGCTCTGTTCAAACTATTTAATACAATTTAGCCGTTATTATAGAATTGGATATCCTATTATTTCACATTTTCATCATAGGAAGTTCTTTTTGTTATGATGACTTTTCGAGTCTAGTCTCTTCCACACTACTCAGTTTTACTTACATATTCTTTGATCATCAATTTTATCGGCTTCGATAAAAGTTATATTATTTTTATTGTTTGGTTATGTTACATAGTTTAGCTGTTTTTCATTTCTCTGCTATTGGTTATTTCTCGTTATTTGTCGGAAACAGATTTGTATTTTATAATTCATCTCATTAGTTTAATAAATAAGCAAAGAGGAGACCAAGTTCATAGTTACTTTGTTGTTAAAGTTTGTATTCGCCAAAGAAGATCTAACAAATTTTAAAAATGAAGCAGGCATTAATTATAAAACGAATAGAGGTCCTACACCGCGGAACCAGGGACCCAGGATGTCATATGACGGACTTAATAGAGCATGAGCTATCTCGCAAGCATGGTCAAGGAGCGACCTTACTTGGTTACACAAATCGCAAATCACTTCTGAGATCCTCCACCCAATCAAAAATAATCAAAATTACGAATTTTGAAAGTAATATCTATATGAAATCGAACGAAACTTGAATTAAAATTTATATTTTAACTTCAAATAGACATCATAAATATTATAACAAGGCAAGTATATGTATCATCATGTATTCAATTGTCTAATTAACTATTAACTGTTGTTGCTTACTATTATCTGTTGCTTACAAAAAAATTCTTTATTTCGT